GGGGTGGGGACTTGCTTGTTAAATGTTAGCTCCATCTGTTACACGGTCCCAGCTCCAGCACAAAGAATGATGAATAGGAAGTAGCTGATGCAGAACATCGATGACCTGCCAAGTCATGTCACAACTGCGTGCCCACCTGACGTTTCTCTTTGTCGTCCTGCAAACGCAGGAGAGCTCCTGGGAACCTCAGTTAGTAACAGACACTCAGGTTCCTGCTGTCTCCGCCCCAGAGCTTCTCTGATCCCCCGGAAGGGGCGGAGCCTGTCCCGCCCACTCGGAGCTAGAAGCGAGCACGGGACACCAGGGTCCACCCGTAGATGTGTCCACCTGCTCGTGGGCTGCATAGCCCATCTCCTTCCCTGGGGGTGCCAGCCTCCTCTGTCCTGACCTTGCACCTGCAACCCGAGAGTCAAAAAGTACCGGTGGGAATAAAAGAAGTGTGAGGCACTCTGGAGTTCCCTTCCCTCCGGTGTTAACTGGAGAGTCGGCCTTTCTGGAGCCGGGAGGGAAGCCAGGCCTGGCTCGGGCTCTGCCCCTTACCACGGGGTGCTCTCGTGGCGCCTGGACAGGCAGTGGCCTCCCCACTTGCCCCAGCTCTGTGGAGAGAGATGTACTGGAAATTGGATGGGATGCTGTCTGAAAGAGAGGAAGAAGAATCTGAATCGTTTGGCTGCAGGGGACTTCAGTTATCAGGAGTGGAGTCCTCCGATTGGGTGTGCTGACCACGCTTGTGGGGTCACAAGGGGCCGGTTTGCCCCGCATACACATGCTTCTTAGTGGCTGTGCTGAGGGAAAGTGACCTGACACTGTGACATTTAACAAGGGCCAGCTAGGTTGAAAGCTCGGTCAAGACACCAACTGTGGGCACTATAGTCATGGCGTCATATACATATTGGGCTCAGCCAGCATTTGAAGGCGCTAAACGTCGTAATTACGACCAAATACCCTGTAAGTCTGAAAGGAGATGCCAGTTCTTGATGAGGCACAGAAGTGCCCTAGGAGTCTTGAGGGGGTTGCCCTGATGACTCGCAGGCCCCAGGTGACCTTCCAGAGGCAGTGGCTTCCCGGTCTCGGCCCTTCTCCCCAGGCCCTCCCAGCACAGGATCACACACTGCTGCCTGGCCTTGTGGACATTTTTTTAGCATGTAAGATCTGGGTCACCGTGACTGAGAAATCAGCCAAAATCTACATATCTGACAAAATGGGTGTCTCAGCACCCAGTGCAAGGCAGAGCTGCGGTCAGCACAGCCCCCTTGCACAGCCCAGGAGTCCCAAGGGCGGCTGCGCTCTGAGTGGCCAGGGGGCTGGGCAGCGTCACAGTGAGGGCTTGGCTCACTCTCAGTGCAGGGCTCCAGCACCCACCTGAGGAGAAAGTGCCCTGGTTGTTTTGGTGTCTGGCGTGAGTGAAAGTAAGGGCTGTGTGTCAGGCAACCTTTCTGCCCGGCCTTAGCCTTTGAGGTCGATGACTCATACTGAGAAGGGGAGCTGCTGAGATGAGTAGCTGAGGATGGCGAACGCTTCATCTCAAAGGTTCAGAGCCAAACCCACCTAACGCTGCCCTTGAAAACATCCTACCTTCCTAAAAATAATAATGAGTTCCCATTCTCCGGGTCAAAATTCCTTCGCACGAACTTTAGAGACCCTCACGTCTCCTTGGCCGCTCAACTCAGGCGAGCTGTTAGACACAGCTGTGCTCTGCCCGACGCCGGTGGGAGGGGAGAGTGCGTGGAGACATTTCTCCTCCTGTCCAAAGGGAGTTTTTGGAATAGAAATAAAGTTCTTCCTCGCTAATTTTTTAGAAATAACAACGAGAAAATGTGCTTTTTTTGCCGGGGTCTCCTGGCCACAGGGCTCCCAGCTGTGTGATGTCGCAGCAAGGCCAGTCATCTTTGGGGCTTCAGTTCTGGTTATTGTTATTCAGTGCTCACCCTGCAGGGCGGTTGAGCGCTGACTTTGTGCTTAAATTGGAAGCAGTGTCAGCCTCCACCTGGAAGGTTGGTCACTCCTGGGCCCGTCGCCCCTGCCCTGTTAGAATTTGCGCGTAATTATTGAACAGAGCAAACAGCCTTTCTCTGCACAAGGTACAGGGCTGAATTTGTGCCACAGCTTGTAGTTTGAATTCGTGGGGAGCAGCACAGAGCACCGCCCTACCAGACTCCTGACTACCTGCTCCTCAGGGGCTCCCGGATCTGGTTCTGAACCTCCAGGGTACTGGGCCAGCCACTTCGGGTTCCGCGCCCCAGATGCGGGGACCCGCGAAGCCTGCCCTGGGGCTGCCCTGTTGGAAATCAGAGAGTTTGCAGCCCCTGGGGACAGTTCCAGGTGCTGGGGGAGATGTGGCCAGGACGCTGGGGCCACTCAGACCCTGGAGACGTCAGGGAAAGGAACGCAGACAGGCGCCCCAGGAGCCCTGGGCGTCCTGCCCCACGGCTGTGAGCTGGGCTCCCCGGGAGCAAGTAGATGAGCAGGGAGCCGCGCCCTCCAGCGTAGCCCCTTCTCTCCAACGGGGTGAGTTTGAAACTTGCAGAAACATGTCTGTTAAGTGACTCGTGTCATCACAAACTCCTCTCGCTCCCCCAGCTGGCTGACCCCGTCTGGAGGTCCACTGCCGCCCTCACGGTGGGATGACAGCTGTCCTGGTTTTGCACGCCCTCTTTGTAACTGGCAGCTTTGTGAGTCGTGAAAAGCCAGGACTGGAGTTGGTCCTGAGGAGGGCACTTAGGTGTGGGTCAGCCGTGGCTGCCCTTGGAGACCTCCAGCTCAGTCCCCTTTGCCTTGCTGCATCTGCAGGGTCCTTGAGCACCGACGTTTAAAGGGGCCGTCTGGTTTGGGGTTCATTATGACCAAAATTAATATCGAAGTTAATAGCACCCGCTAGAGCTGGACAGAATCAGAGACCTTGTCTTCTGAACTGTGGAGAACAGCCAGCCATGCGTGGGCTCCGGCATAGCTGGCCTTGAAATGCTGCTGTTCCCACGTTCCCTCCTGCGCCCACCAGTCAGAGCAGATGAAGGAACCCCTTTAAGCGAGGGCCGAGGAAGCGTGACGCTGAGTAACACAGGCAAGTGCAGAGCGTGGCAGCGGGAACTTGAGACCAGAAGCTGAGTCTGTGCGTGCCCCGGCACGCCTGGCCCCCGCCTCAGCCCAGCCCTTCTCACAGGTGCTGCGGGCGGGCAAGAAGCTGCGTCAGCTGACATGGTGCTAAGATGAGGGGGACCTGGGGAAGGGCCTCTGAGGCGCGGGCTCTTCCCCACCCCAGGGTGTGCAGCTGTGTCCCTGTAGGCCTCAGTACGTGCCTCTCAAACGTGCTGGCCCTCTGTTCCCCTTGCAGAGAGGATTCCGTTTCCGTTATGTGTGTGAAGGCCCATCGCATGGCGGACTCCCCGGCGCCTCCAGTGAGAAGAACAAGAAGTCCTACCCTCAGGTCAAAGTAGGTTCCGCGAGCCGCGCGTGCATCGGAGCGCAGGAAGCAGGGGGCAGCTTCCACGCACTTCCGCTTGCTGTTACCCCGAGCTGAAGCTTCAGCCTGGCGCTTATAATGTTGAATAGAAATAAGGGCCTCAGACCCAGGTCCTCGCTGCGTGCCTGACGGGGCGGGCGGGGGGTCAGGCACCAGCGCATGGTCTGGCCCTCTCCACATGGCCAGGCCCTTGCTGTTTGCTACGTGAGAACGCGTTTCTGCCCCCTTGAGTCTTCATTTTCGTAGTGCAAGGTCTCATCTGCTAGACTGAACCATCGTGTTATAGACAAGACAGTTGGCAGTTGTGTGCAGTCCTTTGTTTTAGTCCAATGGTTCAAGGCTTCCAGGGGTACCGCGTCTGTCTGTCAGTGAGGCATGAGGGTAGCCGGCGGCCAGAGTCCTCCAGGATGCCGTCTTGTCTCTTCCCGCTGCTCACCCCTCTGAGCCCAGCCGTTCTGACCTCTGCCCCTGTTCCGGACCAGACTCTGGGCTGTGACATGCTCCTTAGCTCTGGGGTGAGACGTCCCCGCTGCAGAAGGTCACAGGGTGTGGCCTCGTGTATGGCGGCCGCAGCTCTCCAGACTGCGGCGCCATGGACAGGAGGCCTTTGTGCATTCGGAGCGCTGGGGGTGAGAGCCGCCTGTTCAGCTCACAGGCCCCAGGCGCGGGCTCGAGCTGGCAAGGGGGGGGAGGGGCATGTGGGGGGCGGGGGGGGGCAGCGAGAAGGGGTGAGCAGCTGCTAAGTTACCAAGACTTGCCAGATGCCCCGCCCACTCTCCTGCGCCCACGGGGTCCCTCAGTGCAGCCTGTGAACACGGGGTCCAGCGATCCACGGCTGCCGGGTGAGCCCCGACGTAGCACCTGTGCGCCGGGTGCAGGGCAGGGCCAGGAGGACCGCGGGGAGCAGGCAGAGCCGCACTGCCAGGAACCGGGCAGGGGGGCCTGTGCGGCCTCGGGGTGTCTCTCCCGCCCCTGTGTGCTCGCGTGCGCGGGTTCCCGCGTGGACGCCGGTGACAGGACTGCAGAACTCGCATCATGCGAAATCCGGGGAGAGCTGGAGGGCGTTTTCAGGACTGATGGCACGAGTCACAGACTGGTGTTTTCATGAGTTGTTTCCTTCTATCGCTCGGGCTTTGTGGCTGAGTAACAACTCCTGACGGCAACGCTAAGGCTGTTGTGGATTTATTGCCTCATAAAAAGTTTTATGCGGCCCTTTGCGCTCGGTCTCCACACCTCCCGAGCGGCGACTCCTCCAGTGTGCGCAGCCGTGGAGAGACGCAGCGCCCAACAGCACACGCTCCTCGAGGCTGTTTCTGCATCGCGGAGGGTGACCCCAAGCGGGCGGAGCGCGTCTGCCTCCAGTGCCTGGGACCTGAACCTTCTCCTCTGTATGCTTTTCTGTAAAAAGCCGAGACGCCAGGCTGTGGAATCGCCAAGTGTAGTGTTGGGCAAACATGTACCTTTTCGTGATTGTTGGTGGTTACTTCTTACTCTCAAGATCACCGTAATGTCTTCCAGAGCCTCTGAGCAGGTGCTCCTGGTCAGTGTGGAGAAAGCTAGAGGAGAGAAGGGCACGCAGACTGAGCCGCCGTGAGTCTGTGGCACTGGGCTCAACTGCCTGGGTGTGAACTGCTGCCAAAGAGAAAGTGAAAGTGGGGATGCGTCTTCCAGTCTTCCAGGCCGGGAAGCTGCAGGCCTCTGGCCCCTCACCCTGCCCTGGGGGCAGGCTGGTTGGGGAGCACCTCATCACCCCGAATCCTTCAGGAGCTTTAGTGACAGGCTGTAACGTGTAGTGGAGAGACTGGCGTGCTTCTGTCCGGGCAAACGGGCTCAGGGCCTGCCTTGCCCTCCCACGGCCTCCTGTTCGCCTTCCTTCCGCCTTGCTGCCTCCCTGGCAGTGTGGGGGAGGGCCCCCAGCAGGGCCCCTGAGGACCGCAGGGACTGGCTGTGGCTGGGAGACGCAGGCCGAGGCCCAAGTGCTCCCCGCGCCTCGAGGTGGCGTCCCGGCTGGGTCAGCATGCTCCTCCCCCTGGTCTCGAGCTCGGCGGGCCGCCCCAACGCTCGTCTTCTGGGGACTTCGCGGCGTGCTGAGAGCCTCTTAGGATAGGCCGGCGCAGGCCCGCTCTGGGCTGCGCCCACCTGGCCGAGATGACTTCAGAAGCGGACTGTGTGTCCCCCCGAGCCCCACGTTCTCCTGGGGAGAAACCCCATTGCATTCTTCAGAGTCTTCTGTCTGGAGGGTCTTCACATTCTTGCTAGAAAATTGCTTTGCTTACGTAAAATACTTAAAAGCGTATGGAACGATTACCACTGGACACAGCAGCCGCCACGCTTTGCAGCGGGACGCCTTCTGGCGCGGGTGCTCCAGCCGCGCTCTCCGGCCCCGGCTGGTCTCGGGGCAGAGTCACTGTGGACTCGGCAGCAGGAAGGAAAGTCCGGAGCCCGCCGTGGGCTCACAGGCATTAGTGGTCTGTCGGAGAGCCAGGCGCCCAGGCGGGGAGGCCGGACCCCAGCCCCAGGTGTCTGCCCGCTTCCTCTTGCCTCTCTGCGGCGTGCTGTTCTCGGGTCTGGGCCGCCGCCTGCCTTTATCCCACCCCTCTAGGCCCGGTGTCCACAGTCACAGGCGTGCCAGCCCCTCGGCTTGAGACCCCCACGCTCAGGAGTGGTCAGGCCTGAGGGTGGCAGAGAGGGGGAGCAGGGCATCTGGCTCCCGACGCCGCCCCGCCCAGAGAGCCACCCTGGCCCCCGTGCAGGTCAGCTGCTACTCTGAGCGCTCCGTTTTATCTTGGATGTGTGAACAGTTTCTAGTGCATCACTATTGAACAAAAATGCGGCATTTTCAAGAAAATTAATGCTGCGTTCAACTCTGATTTCTTTCCATGGGAGGCCTCCTCTCCGGGCGGGTCAGACACAAGCTGGGCCCCGTGAGGGTGGGACGCGCCTCCTGCCCCACTGGCGCCTCCTGAGCAGGGGCTGAAAGCCCCTGACCCACAGCAAAAACGGTGCTCAGCGACCACCTGGGCGCAGCAGCCGGCAGGCGTGGGGCCTCCGCAGAGGGCTGCCGGTCAGGTGTCGGTGACGTTGCGGTGGCCCTGTGCAGCCTCCAGCTCAGGCGCCCCGTTCTCCTCTCACCCAGGCTCCTGGGAGTGGCTGGCAGGAAAACCCCGGCACCCCAGGCCGAGCCTGCCCCTGCCTGTCTGTGACTCAGTGGCGTGCCCACTTTTCCCGAAAGTTGTGCACGAGACTTTTTTTTCAGCAGACTGCCTTCCTCTTCACAGAGGCGGAAAGGGGACATGCTCTCTCGGGCTCCCCCCCACGGGGCAGGAAGCCACCAGCCCGTGCAGCCCACCCCTCCCCAGCCCACGCTATGCCGCACAAAAGCCTCAGCAGCGCTCGGGATCCTGGGATGGAAGCGCCTCGGGTCGGGAGTGCGGGCGGCGCGCCAGAGGCCGGCTCCAGCCGCCTTCCCCGGAAGTGCTGCCGCGTGTTCCTCTCCTGGCCTTGATGCTGAGCAGCAGGGTGTGCTGCCACGCGGGCCCAGCAGCCCCCAGCCCCGCCTCGGTTCTGCGTCTTAATCTCCACTCGGTGCCTCGCAGGTAAACGCAGGAGGACGATGCTGGCCCGCTAGAGCAGGCTGAGGGCGGGTTCCAGCACAGCGAGATTTGCGCAGCTCCTGCTCGGCTCCCGCTCTGGCCCGGCTGTCTGACCTGGTAGCTTTGCCACTTTAAGGCGCCGCTTGGGAGGCTGATTTTCAGTCGTGTCTGACTCAGGTCCTCAGAACAGCCAGGAAGGCGCGCCCCAGGCCTCAACAAGGCAGCACGCAAGATGTGGCCGGCGCGCTCCCCTATACTCTGCTCGGCCCGGCGTGGGACCCTGGGCCTGCGTGTGTGTGTGCGTGTGTGCGTGTGTGCGTGCGTGCGTGCGTGCCCGTTTCTCTGGGAGGCGAGTGTAACTTTCTACCACATGCTCAGACATCATTGAGAACTAGCCCTGTACAGGACGTGTCGCGCCAGCTTTTGATAGCAGACAGCTGGAAAGCCGGTGTACAGGGAACATCTTTCAGGTTTAAAATTTTTACATTTTGTGCTTTTCAAATGTGGTGTCTGCATTTTGCCTTTGTACCCATTTAGGCAAGATCAGACGCTGTGTTTTGTCCAGCGCAGCCCAGGAAAGCCCCCCTGTGGGGGCAGGCCGGTGGGCAGAGCGGAGCCTCCCTGACACAGTCCGGGCAGGAGCACCCCCCCCCCACCTTTGCTCTCCTACTCCGGCAAGAGATGCTGGCGTGGGACAAGGGTGTGGCTTCGGGGTTCCCGTGGCAGCACCACTGACCCCGGCGTCAGGCCCCCTCCAGGCAAGCCCCCCACCCTGCCCCTGCCCCAGCACCGTGTGGCCTCCAGGTCCCTCTCCCTCCACCTGGCTGCAGAGGTTCGCGTTTGGCCCCTGGAACAGCACTTTGCCTGTAGACGCGTCGCAGCGGCCTCCACAGTCCCTGAAAGTTACGTGTTCAGAGTCTCCCCTGTGAACGGAAAAGCCGCTCTCTAGAGTCAGCTTGTGCACAGGTCTCAGCTGGGAGACTGAGCCCCGAGACGCAATGGAGGCGCCGCCGCTTAAACGCACAGACGTCGGAGTCTGACGTTTTGTTCCTTGCCGTCCCGGGGCTGCTCATTCTCGGGCTGCCTTGCTCTGGGGGTTCCAGGCCAGAACCCCTTTTCTGTATTTGCCCCCACGAGGGGTCAAGGGGTCTCACAGGAGACACGTGCAGTCAGACATGCCCCTCGGCTTCCGGTTCTGTCCCCCAGGGAATGGTGATAGGAAATGCCGCTGTCCTGCACAATGGGGTCTCTCCACTGTGGGCACCCCCTGAGCACTCGCGCACCCGGGAGACGAAACGGCTCAGGGAAGTGGGGACGACGATGCAGCCGCGTTCCTGTCCGGATGTATTTCGGCTCCTGGGCACTGTGGGGACCGTT